TGCCACATGAAGATCACCAAGGAACCAGGGAACAAGGACCTTCCCCCAGAGCCGACAGAGAGAGAAAGCCTTCCCCTAGAGTTGGTGCACTGAATTTGGACTTCTAGCCTCCTAAACTGTGAGAAAATAAATTTCTCTTTGTTAAAGCCACCCACTTGTGGTATTTCTGTTATAGCAGCACTAGATGACTAAGACAGTCTCCTAAACTCAGCGAGACTCCTGGACTCTATTTTGCTTTCTCCTCCCTGTTCAGCAGTCTGGAGTTGTAAGCAAAATGCTAGGACGACTGTAAGGTGTAGTTCATTTTCTCCCATTCTCTCAGGATCACAACACTGTGCCGACTGCTGTCTGTTATCAGACGGTGACTGTTTGCCAGGTTTCATCCAGTGTTTCAGCTGGTTACAGAGGAAGTGTGATTCTGGACCCTGTTACTCCCTCAGGGTGGAAGCTGAAGTACTCTGTAGTTCTGTGTGTTGTTATTTCATGAGAACATGGTTTGTCTTTTGGTCTTATTTTCTATATACCATTGACCACAAACTTTCTGCTTCCAGTACACATCTCTGACCTGAGAATCAGCCTATGCAGTCAACTGCTGCCTCTAGACATCTTTACTCTGCTGACCCGGGAGCACCTTGCTCTCCCCTGACATCAAGTGAGCTCTTCGTCTTCCCCTAGGTCTGGTTTTCCTTCTCCATTTCCTCTTGTGGGAAACAGCCCCTCAAACTAGACACCTGAACATCACCCCAGAGCCCTCCCTCTTCCTCTGCCCCCTGTGATTTTAGCCTGTCCTCACTTCCATCCATTCTTTCCCCTGATACCTCTGGTTTCCTTCTCCATCCCCCTGCCACTGCCAGACTGAAGCCCTATCATGTGTTACCTGCACTTGAATGCAGAGAGGCTCATTGGTACCTGTGCAGTGAGCGTGTCACTGTCCACCGCCCCCGTCACAGAATGACTGCCGGTGATGTGTGGTTGAGGGCACAGGAGGCAGCAGGAAGCATGACTAGCGCATCTCAGAGTTAACCCACCTCCTACTTGGACTCTTTTTACTTACGTTTGCTGAAGCGGGAAGCCCTGCTGTGTGTCCAGCCCTTGGTTAATGCCGTTGTGTGTGTGTTGGGTAAAGAAAAGGTTGTACTACTTTATCAAAGAGACCCTGAGTACAGGGGCTAAAATCAGATGGAACATTATTCTCCCTCACCTAACTGTCCAGCCTTTCCAGCTCCGCTCCACAGGGCCACTCAGGGACCCAGTGTCCTTCCATGTGTGGCTCTGTGCTCCATCCTCCTCTGCAGGATGAGATACATCAGAATCCCATCACTACATCAGCATCCTGTCTGTGGAAAGCGGGGTGAGAGGCGACCGTGGGTTGGCACTGCCCCTTTAAGCGTGTGAGAGGGAATCGCACACCCATTTCCTCTCAAACTCCAGTGGGGAGAATTAATCACGTGGTCCCTTCACTCCAAGGGAGGCTGGAAATGTCTGCAGCTGGGCAGTGTGTGCCCAGGAGAAGGAAGTATTGGGTTCTGGGGACAGCCCACAGTCCGCTGGTCGGCACTGTGCAGATGGCCCGGGCAGCGTCTCCCCCGTGTGTCCCTCTGGTTAGCTGAGAGGCCTCCCCCAGGGCGCCTGCAATGGCTGGGGAGGGGCAAAGTCCGGGGACTCAGAGTGGCCCCTCCTGTCCGTGGGACTCGCTGGCCTCTGTCTTCATCCTGAATGTCTGCACCCCCCCCATCGGCCTAGGCCCCCAAGAAGCCAGCTGCAGCCTCCCCGCCCCCTTGGTTTTCATGCTCGCCCACGGCAGTTCTAGGTGTTTACCAGACTGTGCGGCCGTCAGAAATAGCGGGGTGCACCTGCTGCTGTTGCCAGGCCGACCCACCCACGGCTTCCGTCTTAGTCGAGGGCCCCCAGGCTGCTGGCACGGGGCTCCGTCCGCAGGCCAGGGCGCTGCTTTTGGGGCAGCTGGGCCAGCCCCCATCTCTCCCCCAGCCCAGTAGCTCTTGGCTGCGGACCCCAGGGCACCTCACCCCGCAGGGGTCTCTGCAGGAGTTCTGGCTGCTGGAGCCGGTATCTGGGCACCCCAAGAGCTGACGTGCCCCTAGGCTGCCACTGTGCTGGGCCCCCTCTTGCTCCTTGTCTGAGCCCTGCCCCAGGGCTGCTGCTGCAGGTCTAGCTCTGCTCCCCATGATGTCAGCGCTAGAGACCAGTGGACACGCACCTGCCCGCCCACCGGCCACGTGGCTGAGAACACCACCTTCTGAAGGCAGCTGGATCCTAGTCCCCGCCCTGCCCTGTACTGGCTGGGTGGCCGTGAGCAAGTTACTTAGCCTCTCTGGGCCTCAGCCGCTTCCTCGCCAAGCTGCTAGATATAATGGTGGACATAAAACCAGTTTGTATGAAGAGCTTTCCTTGTTTAAGGAAGATACCGTGCCTTGTGAGTTAGTCTGGCCAGAAAGGCAGCCTGTTGCCCAGAAAGACGGGCCACTGGCTGCAGGGGCGGGCCTTGGAGCGGTCAGGAGGGCTGGCATGCGAGGACAGTGTGGATGGGCAAGGAGAGGAGAGGGACCGCGTGGTCTGAGAGGAGGGAGGAGAGGCTCCCGGAGTCCCGCGGGGTCTGTTTACCCAGCGGTGGCTTCTGGAATCAGCTAGACATAGATGCCGAGAACAGGAAGGACTTGGGACAAAGTTCCTCATTTTCGGGGTGCGAGAGGTAAGGGGCCGAGGCTGTCTGAGGCTCTGCTTTGTCCGTCCCCGGCGGCAGGCGCTGTCCCCGTCTTACAGAGAGCCCAGGATCATGTCCCATCCTGAGATAGCACCCAGGGCTGGCCCTGGGGTGTAGTCCTCTGGCCCCCAGGTCCTCTTGATGAGGGGTCTGTATTTATGGACGTATGTTGCGGGGTCTCCTGCCTCCCAGAATCATCTCTTTACACCCACTGCTGCCTCCCAGCTGTGTTACTTGACCCCCAAGCAGAGGTGTTACAGGGCTGGTCTTGGAGGCCCAGCTTCTAAATACTTGTTTACTTGTCTGTGGTTTTTCCTGGAGGTAAAATAACATGCAAAAGGAGCCCTGGTGGTGCAGTGGTTAAGCGCTCGGCCACTAACCAAAAGGTCGGCAGTTTGAGCCCACCAGCCACTCCTCGGGAGAAAGGCCTAGTGATCTGCTTCCTTAAAGATTAACCAGAAAAACCTATTTCCATCGAGTCAGTTCCCACTCAGAGTGACCTAGTAGGACAGAGTAGAACTGCCCCATGGGGTTTCTAAGGCTATAGTCTTTACAGAAGCCGACTGCCACATCTTTCTCCTGTGGAGCCGCTGGTGGGTTCAAACCTCCTACCTTTTTGTTAGCAGCCGAGCACTTAACCACTGCCCCACCAGGGCCCCAGTAAAGAGTACATCCTTGGAAGCCTTGTGGGGCGGTTCCACTCTGTTCTGTGGAGTCGCTGTTGGTTGGAGTGAACTCAACAGCACCCGACAACAAAAATAACATACAATGAAATCACAGATCCTACATGCATCATTCAGGGGGTCATGACAGACAGACACAGGCCCCTGTGTAGCCCACCCCCTGTCCTGGCACAGCACATGGCCCTCCGCCAGGAAGTTCCCTCCTGGTCTCTCCAGGCACCCCCGCCCACCTCCAGGGCCTCTGTTGCTCCGATTTTTCCCACAGTGGACTACTTTTGCCTGTTCTAGAGCTTTATCTCATTGACTCACAGCTGTGCTCTTGGATGTGGCTCCTTCCACTCAGCGTATTGTGGAGACTCACCCACGGTGCATGTGTGGGTGGTGCGGCCCTTTGTGCGGCTGAATAGTGCTCCATGGCACGGAGACACCACAGGGTGTTCATCTACTCTCTGGTGGACACCTGGACTCACTCTGGGCTTTGTCTGTCAAGAATAAAGCTGCTGCAAACATTCTCATACAGGCTTTTTTGTGGAGATATGTTTTTATTTCTCTTGTGTGAATACCCAGGGGTGGAACTGTGGGCCGTAGGGTAGGTGTGTGCTTAGTTTTTTAAGGAGCCATCAGCCTTTTCCATGGTGGCCCCATGGTATGCGCGCGCCCAGCAGCGTCTGAGCGTTCCAGTTGCTCCTTCTCCTCACCAACACTCCATGTTGTCTGTCCCATGTTCTGTGTGTTCCTGTTGGCTTTTTAAATATTGAGATAAACTTCACCGTTTCGGAGTGTACAACTCAGTGGCTTTTAGTACATTCACAGAATTGTGCAGCCATCACCACCATCTATTTCCAGAACATTTCCATCACCCTAGAAAGAAACTCCGTGCTCATGCATCAGTCACTCCCCATTCGCCCTCCCCTGGCCCTGGGCCGCCACAGATCTGCTGTCTGTCTGTATGGATTTTCCTGTTCTAGAATTTCATGTACGTGGAACGACACACGTTCGTCCTTCCATGCCTGGCTTCTTTCAGTCAGCACAGTGTTTTCAAGGTTCATTCATGAGAAGCCTGTATCAGTATCTCATTCATTTATTCGGCTGACTCATATTCCATCGTATGGATGGGCCACATTGTGTTTGTCCGGTCATCAGCTGATGGACACTTGGGTTGTTTTCACCTTTTGGCTACTGTGAATAGTGCTGCTATGAATGTATGTGTCCAAGTTTTGTGTGAACATCTGTTTTCAGTTCTCTTGGGCATATCCCAGGAGTGGAATTGCTGGGTCACATGGTGACTCCCTGTTTAATCTTCGAGGAACTGCCCTGCTTGCTTTTCTCTCATCCCAACTGGCTCGAGAGTGCCTTGTGGGTGGCGCTCAGGTGGCTGCATCTCTGACCCTGAGCCTGACCGACTGATTGACCAAGGAGGCCCTGGTGGGTGCTGGTGGGTGACTGAGCCAGGAGGGACGAGAGGAACAGGGCTTGGTCTCTGCGTTGCTTGACTTCCGAGAAGTGGCCCAGGTCCCTGCCCAGAGCAGGTCAGTGGTCTGGAGCCCCTCCAACCAACCAAGTAAACATGTGCCCCCCTCCCTGTCTCGTTGCAGCCACCCAGGTGGACCCAAGCGAGCTGCAGGAACTGTTCCAGGAGACATCGGCCAGCGTCTTCCGCATCAACTCCAATGGTGTGTCTGCCAGGCTGTGCCCTTCCCCTCCCCCAGCCTGGGTGACTACAGGGGGGACTCTGGCAAGGGGTCTTTCCCTCTAGTTGGGGCCCAGCCTCCTCAAGGACGGAGACAGGGAGAGGGCCAGTCCTGTCCACAGCTAGGACCCCCAGAGCTGAGTGCCATAGCTCAAGGGCAAGAGGCAGGGCCTGGAAGGATGGCTTCAGAGTCCCCACCCAGGGCCGGCAGAGCTGGCGGACCACAGGCTCCCTAAAGCAGTGGGGGTGGGGGTCAGGAGCCACACCCCCACCCCCGGGCCAGGCTTTCCCTCTCTCCCTGCAGTCTCAGAACACGGAGAGGAGGAGAACACGGGGAAAGGGTGGACAGCGGCCCTCCCCAGACCTCGCCGCCGTACCCACGGGTGGGGCCCACGTGAGGTAGACCCCAAGGAGCCACGTGGGCTGCATTGGGCCAGCGTCTGCCTCGGGACAGTGGGGAGAGGGTGCCGGTCTGGTGCTCCTCTGGGCTGTGCCTGAGCATGGGGCAGGGCTGGACTGAGTGCCAGTGTGTCCCCTGGCTCTCCCACCTGTCCCCTGTCCCCATGTCCCTCCTGTACCCTGTCCTGTGTCCTCAGGCCCTCCGTCCCTGCCTCTCTTTGCTGGTGGGACCACGAGGCGCTGCCTGTCTCCTCATGCCTCTCCCTCTTCTCTTGGGCAGTGACCTCCTTGGAGCGGAGCCTCCGGTCCCTGGGGACGCTGAGTGACACGCAGGAGCTGCGGGAGAGCCTGTGAGTGTGTGTTGGGGTCAGGCGACGTCGTCCTGCCTGCATGTGGTGCTCACGGGGCCTGCACAGGCCAGGCCCTGGGCACCCTTGCACACCAGGGCACACTCACAAACCCAGGCACACCTCCATACCCAGGCACCCTCGCACACTCACACACCTGGGTACACTCGCACACCTGGGCATGTCCACACCTCCACTCGCCCACCTCACACACCTGTGAACGGGCCCCAGTCCATGCTCGGAATGTCTGTGCAGACTGGGCTCAGATACCTCTCCACAGGAGTACACAGGTGTGTGCACACGGCACACATGGGAGAGGCCTATGGCCCGAAGCCCAAGTGTGCCTGTGGACGCCTGCATAGGAGTCCCACATGTGCACACATGCCTGCCCACGTGCGTAGGCGCCAGTGGTGGCTGGCCACAGACGCGCCCACACCTGTGTCCTCCACACAGCGGTGCTCAGCGATGGAGCCGCACACACCTGTGAATGCACAAGCCCGCGTGCTGGGACACACAGTGCGGGGGAGCGGGGCTTTATGATCTGCCTGTTGGGGCGGCAGTGCAGTTCTTTGTGGGGGCTTTGCCTTGACGGGGCGGTCCCTCGGGGGCTGGCCTTTGAGGGCCCACCAGAGGCCTGCCCTGGATGGCCCGGGTGAGTGGCCTGGTCCGGAGTGCTTCCCGGGCACCGGGCTGACCTCCTGGGCTCAGCAGGCCCAGGTCGGCTGGGAGGGGCAGCGGGCATCTGTGTGGGGAGCCCCCCACCCTCCCGTGGCAGGGCTCTACAAGGCCACGAGGGCCTTCTCTGTGCCTCGGGGAGCCTGGCTCTTCAGGCTGCGATGCTGGTGGGGTGGGGCCAGAGCCCCAGGGGGAGCCGAGCCCTGAGTGAGTCCCCTACACCCTCGCTGAGCCTCCCCAGGAAACGGGCGGGTGGGAGGGAGGCGGTGGCGGGACTCAGGTAGACATGGGACGGCTATGCCCAGACCCCTGATTGCCGGCACTGACACCATCGCAAGGCCCATCCCAGGCGCCCATCCTGAGCCTGACTGGGGCGTGGGCACCGGGGAGGGCCGGTGCTCAGGCAGCGTTGAGACCCGCTCTGGATGGTGTGTGCCCTGGGTCCATCCCTGCCTCGTCCGGGTTGTCCTCCCTGCTTTCCTGCCCTCCCGTCCTCTGCGGCCCCGCCCACTCGGGGCCATTGGGCGCTGCTCAGCTGCAGGAGGCCCCGTAGAGCTGGCCCTGTGCCCTCAGCCCCTCCCACCATGCCCTCCCCCCAGTCTCTGTGTCCAGATTTACTGTTTAGGCGTCATGTCCCCTCTCCTGAGTGGCTGCCCCCACACTGGCCAACCTGTGTGCAGCTCATGGTGTCATGGGGCTTCCTGCCCCCAGACTTGTCACTCAGGTACCTGGCCTGGTGCGCAGTGGGGCTCAGGCGGTGGGCGCTAAGCGGGGAGCACGGGCATGAGCTGTGGGGTCCAGCTGAGTGCAGGTGGCCGTGATCCTGCACTGGTGTCTCTGCTGGTGGTTTACCTGGGCCGCTGCTGGGGCTGGGGGTGCTCGGGCACAGCCACCTCCCCGTGGTCCCCCGGCGGAGCTGGGCCGCCCAGCCTCCCACTGAGGAGGAGGCGAGGTGGGGACAGAAGGCACGAGGGCCTCGCTCTCTCCCTTTGCACCCTCAAGGCCGCAGCCCAGAGTTCACGCCCGCCAAGGTCCTGAGGCGACACAGGGCCCTTCGCAGAGTTTCTGTGACTCTATTTGTAACTGTCCTTTTGTTTTTTAAGTAGTATTTATTGTGTTCTGTCTGGGGAAATACCTTGTGTCACTGGCACATGTGGATGAGGGGGGCGGCTGCGGAACCGCCAGCATCGTGGTGCGTCGTGCAGCTTCTCCAGGCCGGGCGCGCTTTGCAGATGCAGGTCTGACTGGGTGCTGCCTGACCCTGCTCTTCACGTGTTGCGGCGCCTCGGTAGGCAATCTCTGAAAACAGACTCTGCAGAGGGGCTGCGGACCAGCCTCTGTGCGAGCTCATTGTCCTTCCAGTTTTTCATCATCCCACACAGAGTTCAAGAATGTTCTGTGGCTAAGTCTTTGTGTGGCTGATTGTTTCCAGCTGATCCTGGGGCCTTGCATCCGGGGGGTCGAGCAGGGCGTTTCGGGACCTGGGTGCGCCTGTGGGTGTCTTGGGCTGCCTTGCTCTTTCTGTTAGCTGAAGGGATGGTGTCCTCAGACATGGGCCTGGGGGAGCTGACCCCCAGGGTGGAGTAGGGAGAGGTGTTGGCTCCGTGACTCCTGCCCCCTACAGGGTCTGACCCCCAGGCCAAGAGTCCCCCCACCAGCTTCAGGTCCTAGAGCAGTCACCTGTGCTTTCCTGCCCCCGCCCTGGAACCTGGGTCCCTGGGTGGCGCCACCAGCTCTGTTCAGTCCTGCAGGGTCATTCTGAGTTGGCGTTGACTCAGTGGCATCCGACAACTGACCTGAAGGCCGGTGGTTCGAACCCACCCCGTGGTCCCATTGGAGAAAGGCCTGGTGATCAGCTTCTACTAAGATCGCTGCCAAGAAAACCCTCTGGGGCAGTTCCCCTCTGACACACGTGGGGTTGCCATGAGTCGGGGGGACTCGAAGGTCATGGGGTTTTTTGGTTTTCACCTGGACGACTCCCGCCTGCCCCTCAGGCTCACTCCTAATCAGGCTGAGGGCGTCACCTGCTCGTCACAGCCTCTGGAGCCTTCCGTGACCCCATGTGTGGACTGTTGATGATGTAAAATAACTTGGGGCCCACACGGGGCTGCCACCTCTGCTTCCCCACGGTGACACAGCGTTGTAGCTTTGTGATGTGCCGAGGAAGGACGTGGAAAAGAGCAACCACCGCCTTCAATTGTCACCATCATCCTATGGAAGAAGGGCATCTGGGCTGCACGGTGGGAAGGAGCCACTCTCAAGAGGGAGGCCAGGCCTAAAAACTGAGTACAGTTAGCTTCATAAAAAAAACTCTCAAGGCTGTGCCTGTTTTTCTCGTCTCGCTGGAGACAGGCATGAGCTTTGTCACTACTGCTAGCACCTGGCCGGGAGGAGCAGGTGGGGTGTGTGGACCTTCAAGTGTGTGAGAGCTGTCCCCGTGGGCGGCGCTCAGTGGCTGTGGGGACCTTATCTGCTTGGCTCCCAGAGCGGCTGTCTCCAGCTGCTGAGGATGCAGTCACTGACCAGGGAGCAGAGTTCCAGGACCTTCTGGGCACGGAGCCTGTTGTGCCTGCAGGGCTCTGCCTGGCGCTCGCCTGGACCACGAGTGCACCGCGGGTGGGCTGGGCTGGTGCCGCCCCGTGTCCAGGGCAGGCAGGCGGCTCTGATGCCCACGGAGGAGAGCACGCCCACTGGCGCGTCATACTGGCTCCAGGCTCCTCGCCACACCAAGGTCTCTGCCCTGAGCTCAGGCAGGTGGGGGCTCATGGACCCCATGACCGCTAGGCCCCCGGGAAGCCCACGTGGAGGGATGGGGACAGGCCAGCCACGTCACTGTGACAACCAGTGTGTGGAGCAGGGAGAACGTCCGGCCAGGCCGCCCTGCTTCCGGCTTTCCATCCAGTGGTGTCCATGGCTGCCCTGCTCTTCCGGTCATGGGGAGGGGGGTTGCTGTTGCTATGGAAACAGCAGCATCAGCTTCGAGAACGGTGCTTTCTGCACCGCAGAAGGCAAACCCCAGAACGGGTGGGCGGCCTCCCCGGTCGGTTTGTGGTCCCCTGGTCTCACTCCCCTCTCACTCTTGTCCTGGCAGGTTGCCCGTCAGCCCGGCCCCGCTCAGGTCCGGTTCCTGCCGCCTGTGTTCTGCCTTGTCTTCTGTCTCTGGTTGGTCACGGTTGCTTCCTTGTGCCTCTGTGGGAAAATGCCCAGAGAGCTGTGTGTGGTGGGCCTCGTCCTGCACAGGCCATGGCCCACGGGGCTTTGTGGGGCGGTCTCTCTCCCCGGCTGCTTCCGGCCCATTGTCAGCCCCTCTGTGGAGAGCAGGAGACCATGGGCTGTGTCCTCTGGTCCAGGGGCCTCTGTGTGCTGCTAGAACCAGGGCTGCAGCTTCCTTGTGGGGCAGCTGTAGGGGCGAGCAGTGAGGGGGGGCTGAGAGGAAGCAGCCAGCAGGGGGCCAGGGGACCAGGAGAGGATGCAGGGCCCAGCAGGGGGCTTCCGGGAGGAGGTGACTGTGCCCGGGGCTCTGGGAACGAGGACCCCCGCGCAGGCCAGGCCAGGCCAGCACTCCCAAGGGGAGAAGGGCTGCCCCATCCCCCAAGGCCAGGGGCAGGCCCCACCTGCAGGTGACTTGGAGGCCGTGTGGGCCTGAACGCTCGTCCTCTCTCTAGTTCTCAGTGCCCTCACCTGCGAACAGGACGGAGCTCCAGCCTGCTGGCCTGCTGGGCTCATCCACTGGGGGGGCCCGGCTCAGAGGGCCTGTGGGACCGACTAGGCTGACCAGATGGAGGACGAGGGGGTGCTGGCGGCTGAGCTCCCTGGGACTGAGACCCCTCCCCTGAGAGCAGGAGGAAGCAGCAGGCAGGGTATGGTGTGGCCCCGGCCTGGGCGAGTACCCTGTGTGGCCCGGCCTTGTGAGGGCAGGAACTAGCAGCTGAACTCGTGGACACCTGTGAGCCCATTCAAACGAAGAGGACGCGGGAGACCCGACCTCAGGCCTGGCCAGTGGTGCAGGGACACATGCCAGCCTCGCACCCCCGACTTCCCCACCCCGTGCCCCACCTCCTCCAGCACCTGCCCTGATGCCACCTCACCTCCAGGCCACTCTTGAGCTCCCTGCTCTAGAGCAAACCTCACTTCCTGGACGCGGAGGTCCTCATCCCAGGCAGCCTGGGGGGGCGCCTCAGGACCGGGCAGCACCCCTCTTGTGCCTGCTGGGAAAGCCCCACCACATCTGGGCCGCCCGCCCCCCCGGCCCCCAGTGCGGCTTCGCTGGGGAATGCGCATGGACGGCAGCTCCAAGCCTCGGGTGTGTGGGGGTAGGGCTGCGGGGA